AGGTTCTAGAGCAGAGCAGCACACACTGTGCAGGTTTTGAATTTTGCAAATTATTCATATATACTACAGATTGGTCAAGCATAAATGTTACTGAGGGTTTGCTGCTGATGCTTGAGACCAACTCAAATTTTAAATTTCAGTTGTGGATCTTCAGTAGAACACAGATTAGAAACACAGCAGTGTATGGGTGCACACTTAGAAGCCCAGAATGCACCTGTATAAGATAATCTGAATCAGTTTTCCTACCGTTTGTCACTTTTTCTTGGTAGGATTTCCCCCTCCCACCGTGTATTCTCAGGCCCAGTCATGAGGAACGGTTTAGTGCCAAACTCCTGGGGATTTAGGCCTAACCTCCTGCATTAACTTAACAGGTATACCAACCAGCTTTATACTACTGTGCAAAGGGGGGTTTCAAACAGAAGTCAAGGGCTGCCACGTGGGCAGATGGAGGGTAGAGAAAGTTTCTGAATCCTCATTAGCTTTGTTGTAATATTTTCCCAGCTTCTTTTGAAAGCTTTGTGATTATTACAATTGGTTATACTTAGGCATCATACGATGCTTCTGCTTTTGTGTTGCTTATGGATTCCTTTATATCCTCTCAAAATTCTGTATCACTGCATTTTTCATAAACAGATACAGTGCACTTTTAATTAAAAAAGTAACTGTAAACTACTTGGTTTGATTACGAAAGAAAAACAAGAATCGTAGACTTCTTGATGGTGTTAATTCTTTGAAAGATGGTTTAATACTAGACGTGGAATATGGATGTATTCTGTATTGTATTAAATTAGAAAGTCAAGTGATTTGAAAAGTAAAATGAGGCAGTAAAGCCATCAGCCCTGAATTAAAACTAGATTTTGTGATAAATAATGCATCAACTTTCACTATTTCTATTTTATCATATTATGTTGAAGACACATATCTGAAAGTGAACAGTTTGAAAATAGTGTATTAGATACGCTCTTTTGTGACTACTTAAAAGATTTGCACATTTCTTATGTTGTACTTTATACTTTGTTTACAATAAAAACAGTTTTCTTTAATATGGACCTCTTTTTTTTTTCTCTTTTTTTCTGTAACAGAACTCGATTAGTGTTATTTCCTTGCATGGAAAATGACCTCAAAACAAGCATAGTGTCCATCAGTGTCTGGCTTGACCAATGAGACTCTCTTTCTTAACATTTGATTTATAGGCTCTATAAAGCCAACTTGTATGGAATTTGAAGTCAACACTTAGTTCTTCAAGTCTTTCCCCCCGCCTTTTCCCTCCTCCCCCCTTTCTTTCCCCAGACACTCAAAAGTAAATGTGCTTATGTGGGCCATTGTAACACTTGTCAAAAATATCTTTTTGCTAGTCATGGAATTGCAATTTCTTCTCCAAAATGAAATCCAGCCCCCTATTTTAGGTGGCCAGGCCATGTGGTTGAAGGTGCTAGATAGACTCCCCTTGTACAGTATGGGATTCAGATTCCTCTGAGGCATTGCCTACAGCTAGCCAGAAAGCAACACTGAGACAGAGATGTATACTGAGTCTCACCATTCTCTAGGGTATAGGTGTGTTTGCCCACTGAGGATCCTTACCTAGAGCTGTGTCCAAAAGGTAGCCTGTATATAATTCCTACAGGGAACAGAGCAGGGAGGTGTTTTTTTTTTTTTTTTAACCTTTTCAGTACAGGAGGTAGCTTCACAGTTTCTCTACCTTCTACTGCTTCTGACTTTATGCAGCAGATAATTACTTAGAAAGATTTATGTGGGCCCTTCCATGTCCTCATCTGATTCCCTCCCCTGCCTGCAGGGATTCCCGAGTTTCATAATTGTGTGGCTGCTGACTCACTGTCGTTCCCTATTTGGGATCGGGGCACTCCTTACCTTTCCTGTTAGACGCAGCGCCTTGCATAATGGAAGAACTGGAGTCATTGCATTTCCTTCTTGTTCCAAGAGGGAATGCGACATCACAGCCTAATGCAGGAGATGCTTCCCCACATGCATGATCCTGGTCAGCTGTCTTGCTACAACCCCTTCCTGTATTTTCTATTTCACAGTAATCAGATAAAATATGTTAACAGCCCTGGGAGTAGGGTCTGAAGCCCTTCCCATGTATGCAAGCTACCCACTAAGCTACAAAGCCAGGTCCCTTCTTCAGCGTGTTTTCTGGCACAATGATCCATTAATTCAGTTTTGTACAGGGGCACCACGGAAGGAGGGCACAAAGCAAGTGCCGCCCCCCGCCCCCCACTTCATGCTGTCCACAGTCTATTGGCTGCAGTGGACCCATAGGCAGAGCGCGCTGGGGGTTTTGCACCCCCTCAGGTTCAAGAGGGAACTGAACTTCAGTCTCTGATTTCCCAAGCAAGCGCTCTAGCCACTCTGCTGTTGTATAAATGGGGAGGAAAGGGAGTTTCTGCACCATGACCATCTCTGTTGCCTGTGTCCTCCACAGAAAAAGCAGCTGCTGGCACTCTCCATGGGGCAGCCAGCTCCAGAGGTGTGTGTGGGGCGTGCTCTGTGAGCACCTACTGAGTGATCACCTTTGAGGAGGCTGGCAAAAGAAAGCTTGTTTCTGGATCCCAGTGAAGTATAGACATGAACTAGAGATTGAACTGCTCAGTTGTCAAGACTATGATACTTGAAGAAACTTAAGGTGGAAAATCCTGATGCACAGCCAATTCATGGGCAGTAACCCTTGGCAGCGCCCACCCTCGCTTATAGGGGCACAGTTCCTTCTTGCAAGACGGCTGCAGCTTAGATCAATGAGATAAAGAGCAGCATCCTGTCAGCCTTGCCTATGTTAAGGCAGTGCTGCAAAGATTTCTTGACTTTGCTCCTGCCAGTGGGGGTGAGGCAATCTTCACAAAGAGGAATTTGCCAGAACGGATTAGGTACCAGAAACTTCTTGTGCTTAAATGTTGCAGATGTCATGTAAGCTGCCTCTGCAGCCTGGTGTGCTTTTAGTGCTGGTAGTGGAGCTGCAGCACCAGCAGCAGCAGGAAGGTTTTTAACTGCACCAAACTCTATAATGACAGAAAGGAAGAGTCAGCAACACAGGTTGGCTTTCATGAGGACTAATATATGCAAAGCAATTAATTTATCCTAGCATGTACACATTCATTTCTACCCCTTTGCATTACCAATGTATCCAAACAACATATTGCACCGAGCTCCTGCCAGGCAGTTGGAGTGTTATATTGCTCCCGAAACAGGCACGTTTTCTGTCTCAGGTGAATGTGTTAGGTTAAATCTTCAGGTAATGTAGGCCCATTAAAGTCAGTGGATCAATGGTAATCAAACACCCACTGAGCAAAGCGAGATGTTTGACGGCAGAGCTCTGCGCGGTGTGCAGAGGTGGAACTATTCACCAGAAGAAGGCTTCCAGGATCCAAGGCGTCTCTGCAAACAACATGCAGCAAAATTCCTCACTGTAAAGGCAGGATTTAACAATGAGGAAATGCCCCTTGGATTACTTCCATCTGAGGACAGATTCCTAATGGTGACTCTACCTCACATACAGTTTTTTTAAAGCTTAATCATAGCAGCAAACACTGGAAATTAAACCAGTTATTGAAGTGTTTAATCCAAGTCTAATCTGGAACATGGAGTTGAAAGGATGGTAATCCAGGATGCTTTTAGCCACCTTTCTACTGCTGAATTTTTCGCACAATCAGATTTTGTTGCACGGTAGGAAACCTCGGGAGGGGGGAGGAGGGCGTCTTCAAAATGATTTTGAATTTTCTCCAGACTTCTGTAAGGAATTACATTTCCCTTAGTCTCCCATTTAAAACAAAGATGCACCTGCGATTTTATCTTCCTGCTTGTGATTTGGAGGACACGAAGATGAAGCCAAACATTCGCCGCAACCCCG